GCGAATCTAATTTCGCAAGCCGCGAAAGCACCCTGCTCGCACCAAATAATGTCACACTCTCTGCGAAATCGATTTCGAGACTTGCGAACTGAATCATTTCATTAAATGTGTGTGTTTTTAGTGTGTGTTTGTGGTGTAACTATAAATAGATATCGTGCTTTGTATTTTTAAATACCACCTCGCGTTTCCCAACTTTTAAGTTGGGAAATCCTCTCCATTTTTTTTTTCTTTTATTGTTATGCTTTGGTTTGGAGGTTCATAACTCAATTTTTTTGGCAAAATTCTAGCAACCTTATTTTTAATCTAGATTCGAGTTTTACGCACTATCGTTCAGGCATGCAATAGAAGAGTAAGTAATTGCTTAGGGGCTTACTAATTCGAGTTTGTTTTTCGAATACTGTGTTGATGCTCGATTTTTTACTTTGCTTTAATTTAATTGCTTGCTTACGTGTGTTAGAAATTTGATACGTGCTTATCTTGTTTAAATGTCTCGATTTTGCTCAAAGCGTGATGATTTAGTATAGAAGCTTGTGTTAGATTACCTAGGATCACCTTGCTCGCATGTTTTTTCTTTTTATTTTTGTTTCTTGAGTTATAATTCTCTGGCAACCAAAGTTTCGCTCTTTCTCCCTATCCTTGCATCTTTCATCATTTTCTCTTAGATTCTTAGTTTAATATTGCAATCCAATCCCAGCAAGCGAGTAGCATGTGTAGGACCTTATTTTCGGTTATGTGATTTTGACGATTAGGTTGTGAATGAAGCTCCGAATAGCCTTCCTTTGTGAATGTTGCTCGGTTACCATCATTCCACAAATTACTAAAAAACACCGTATAAGGGTACAAAAAAACGGAGATGAACATCGTCAGGATGAAGAATAAGCCTCTGGGTGTGGAGGTCCCGATGCAGGCAATGAAGTCAACAGGCCGGTTCCCCTCGCAGAAGATGTGTGAGATTCGATGGCGAATCGGTCGAAGAGTGGCTCTAATACGAATGAGTGAATGTTGCATCTGCCATGAGCCCTGAGGACCATAGTCAAGAGTGTGATGACAGCGACAACGTCCAACTCCATCCAAACGTGAGAGGAGATCGTGGCAGAAATCTGAAGACCGATCTGAAGCGCCTAAACCTCTGCGTTAAAGCTCGAGGAGGCCCGAAGAGGAGCATTGAAAGAGGTAATAAGAGCACCACTATGATCCATAATCAGGCCCCCACCTCCAGCTGCTCCAGTAAGTCGGTCAACGGATCTGTGAATGTTTAGCTTAACCCAAGGTGGCTCGGGTCTCAGCCAAACAACAACTTTGGGGAGTGGATGCTGGACAGGCAGCGAGCAGAGGTTGATCGTTGTCCTTTAAAAGCAAGGAGCAATACTTGGATCGGCCCGACGGGTCGGCCCATAACCTGGACCATTCCATGTGGCTTGTATTGATCGAGTAGCAAGTGACCCCATCAAACCGGGTCGACCTAGCCTTGACTCGGTCGACCAGAGCATTGGCCCAGCCCACCATTTTTTTTTTTTTTTTTTTGTATTTTATTTTAAAAAATAAAATTATGTGTATATTTATGTGATAAATATTTATGGTAAACTACCATATTCCTTTAGGGTTAAAAAATTAAATATAATTTTTTTATGCATTGTTAAAAGGTAAAAATAATATAAATATAATTTGAAATTTTGTAGATTAATTACTCGATTCATATCTAACCTGGTAACGTGATGATGAGACCGATGACCAGATGGTTCCGAGTCCATCCAGATCAATTATGATCTGATTTTAAAAGATGGTTGAGTTAAAATGTTGATGATGAGATCGATGATCATCTGAGTCCATCTGTATCAACTATGATCCGATTTTAAAAAATGATGATTGAGTTAAAATGTTGAAATTTATATGAAAATTTTCATACACAAACATGCTCTGAATGATGCACTCTTTTATCTTAAAAAGCAAAAACAAAGTGGAAATGTAAATAGAGTCTTGGATTGAGTTTTTAAGATGAGATGTAGATGATGAGGTGTGGTGGATCTTGGTTTTATGGGACACACGGCAAGGAAGGCAGATGTGTTGTGACCATGTGCAAGATATATCCCATAAACTACACCATTTCCCAATACAGACTATTAAAGCCATTCTTTGTTGTCCCCACCAAGTCAATCTTTATTACTATTTTCTATTAGTTGGACCCGTGAGAGATTGACTTACCAAGTAAAATTATAGTTTTTCTCTTCATCAAATTTTTTGGTACAAGGACCTTCCGGTTTTCAGATCCACAGGGAAATCGATTAATTCGAAATCGAGCCGGGTAGGACCACAAGAGCGGTAAAACTCTCCCTCAAAAGTTTTAACACTGCTGCATTTACGTATTGAATGAAGGTAGTAAAAGTCAGATGTGTTAGTTACCCGTTGCGTTTATGGAGTGGCCAATATGAATCCAACACAAATGAGCCGAATTTTTTATTTATTTATTTTTTTTTATTAGAAACTTCATTGGCGTAATACTTGCGATTGAGAGATTATTTTGATAATCGGGTAATGCTAATAGATTCTTCAGTAAAAGAAGTTTCTAAACCTATATATTTTACACAAATATGGAATATCCAACGGCGTGTTATCTTTTAGATTGACAATCGGGTAATGCCAATAAGAAATATTTTGAAAATATTCGTCATGTGTTTGAGAAACGAACATAATCGGCGAAACGATTCTCTTCAAAAGCCAATTGAGAAAAAACAAGTCAACAACCGGTATGTGACCAGTCGAACCGGTGAAAACCAGTAAAATCCAGTCAAGCAATTGAACTTGTTCATGTGTTCATTTTGGTCCGCGACATTAAGTAAAAAGTCAAAGATTGCATTAGCTAACTAAAATGAGATCAATATATTAATTATTCTTAACAAGCCCTCCTAATTCACTAAAGTAATTAAAAAAAATGGTGGCTAAAGTCAAACTAATAGTTTCAAAACTAATCCATGGTTGACGATGTTTAGGAGAGATTATATAATCTCTTAAAATATTTGTTAAAACGATTAGGAGGAGCTTACAAGCTCATAAAATTTATAACATGCATAAAAATAAAAAATAAAAAATAAAAAAAATTTGAAAACAAAATATAAAAATACTCCCCTCTTTACCTTTTTTTTTTTTTTTTTCACATCTTATATGTTGATGTATTTTTATTATTTAAGTTTATAAGTACGAACATTTTTTACTTGAAAAGTTCCATCAACTAATTTTTTAAATGTGACATTGCTATCCAAAAAAATGTGATATCAAAACTTTTAAATGTCACCCACATAAACATAATCTTTACATGCTTCCTCTTATGTTAAGTCTCATTAATATGCCCAATTTTAGAAATTTTGTAAAATGCATCCCAGTAAAAAAATAATAATTGAGATACACACGGGATTTCTCCCAGTTTGTTCAGTTGTTGAATGTTTGTTCAGTTGTTGGTTGTTTGTATTCAGCTAGTGGCTGTACTTTTGCACATTTATGCGCCGTTATATAATTTCTATATCGTTTCGAAAAAAAAAAAAGAAATACACAAATGATGAAAAATAAATAAATAAATAAATAAAAATAAAAGAAGTAAGAACATTGCAAATAAAATAAAAGAAATTTTAATGGACAAGTACACGGATAGACAGAGAAGTAAAGCCAATGTCCTGAAAGAGGCCCCTCAATATTAATGTTAGATAAAAAGAAGAAATCTGTCCCAGCTCACAGAGTCCTTTACAAGTATTTTTTTTATACAGATAAGGGCATGTTCCTCCCCTCAATTTCACATGCTTTCTGATCATCTCTTTCCATACAAAATTTAATTATCTAAGGACAAGTTCTTTATTTTTTTTTTATATATATATATA